TGCATACAGTCTTTAGGATTGTCCTGGGGTAGATGCCAGTCCCTCACATTATGGATGATGAGTTGACTGAGAGGGAAACTGGTGTCCTCACTGCCCATTGTCCTCAGAGCCTGCCCTTCATCAGACAGCATTTCCAGTCTGTTCCATCTTCAGTGCTGAAATGTCATGAATTGTGCCCGCTATGCTACTATTGGCTGCTGCATGCCACCTCTGATGTCACTGGGTTGTTTCTCATCTCTGCCTCTGTGCTTCAGTGCCTGCCTGTGTTTTTACACACCTGGCCACCAGCCCCACCTCTCTACTGAGGGACACTGGCCACATCCCTGCCTCTGTGTGACCTGTCCTTCCATGGTCCTGTGAAGCACATGGGAGTTCTGAGACTGCCCACCTGCCGTGAGAACCAGCGGGGTGAAGTTGGGAAGGGTACTAACAAGAAGAGGGACAAGAGGACGAGCCCTGTTCTCAAGCTCTGAGCTTGCCCAGTGAGGGCACACTGAGTCTGTGGGCCACCCCTTCCCTTGAGGGCTTTATCCTTGCCTTTACCTAGCCACAGGCTGAAGGGCAAATCCACAAGGTCTTTCCTGCCCTTGTCAGCCCTGGAGCGAATGCTCAGGGTATCTGCGGCAGCCCTGGCTGAGGTGCTTGTCAAGGTCACAGCAAGGGTCAGTCAGTGGAGAGCTCAGGCTGGACCTGATTGCCTGTCTCCCGTCTCTGTCTTGCTCACTGACTCTTTCCCCCACTCCATCCTGTCTCTGTCTGCCTTTCCCTCTCTCTGTCTCTTTCTGTTGCTCTCTATGTGGCTCCTTGGTCATTGTGGTCTGTGTCTTTGTATTTCCTCGCCTCTCACCCCTAAGTTGTTCACAGACAGGCCCTGGGTTGTTCTCCATGGTCCCTGCATGTCTTACAGTAATGTCCTTTTGCCCATTTGCTCTTATGACTGTGGTTGCCCCTTGCCAATCCCCTAACTGCTCTACCAGGATCCTGTCTCCTGTGCTCCAAGTGGCCTTTGATTTGGGCTTCTGGCTCCTTTCTGCTACCCAGCTCAGGAGCCCTGGAGTCTGTACTGGGCCTAGATCCCCTGTGTCCCTTGGCCAGAAGTGGCCTGGCATGTAGGGGAATCAGCAGTCTGGGGAAGGGGGGTGGGGCATCTTAGTAACCCTTTCTGCACACCCTCACTGCTTACCTAGTGACAAAAAGACTCCCTGTGCCCAGTCCAGTGCTCAGTGACGTCTACGTGTGACTTATTTTCCTTTCAGAACATAGCAGAGGTTGGGGTGCTATACCATCTCCTAGATGAGGAAGCAGACACCCAGAACAGATGGGTAAACAGAGTCACACATGAATAAGAGTCCAGCCAGGTTTCCAACCAGGTCTGATGACACCAAAAGCCAATCTCTCCTTTTTGACATGGTCTCTACCAATAATGTATTTGGTACCGTCTCTAAGATTCCAGATGGGGTCACAGTAACTAGTCTACAGAAGAGGAAATTAAGACTCAGCAGTGATAAAGGAACCACCCACACTAAGGCAGTTTGCAGGGCTCCCTCTTGTGAGCACCCCCATTTGGTCTTGTCACACACCTGACTGATGTCCAGGGTCACACCCAAGTCCTGCCACTTCACACTGTGTATCTCTCCTCTGCTCCACAACATGGGGAACTGAGACCACTGAGTACGGCTCCTGTTGGGGCTGCTCCTGGTCAGGTGTAAACAGAACCAAGGCTCCTTTCTGAGCCCCACGCACACATGCTGCCCCACACCTGAGCCTTGTCCCAGGCTGGGTCCTCTGCCAGGAACAGCAGGCCCCGTCTCCTCCTGCTCAATCCCAGGTTTGAGTCTGAGAACCCAGCTCCCACATGGCTCTTCCAGAGAGGGCTCAGAACTCCCCTCAGACTGGGGTGCACACCACACTCTGCCTCTGTTTCCCCATTTGTCATCCAGTCTCAGTGTGGTGGCAGTGGTGAGATGGGTGTGTGTCTTGCTTAGCACAAGACTGGGTCATGGTTTGCATCAGAGAGTGGAAGTTGTTGCTGATACACACTTGAGAAAACAGGATCCTGCAGGATGAATAACGGCCCTGTGTTCCCTGCAGGGGTCACAGGTGAGGAGGAGCTGCAGGTGATTCAACCTGAGATGGTGTCGGTTGCAGCTGGAGAGACGGCCATTTTGCCCTGCACAGTCTCCTCTCTACAACCCTTGGGGCCCATGCAGTGGTTCAGGGGTACTGGACCAGATCGGCAGCTAATCTACAATTTCAAAATAACCCAAGAACACTTATCTCTCTACCCCCGAATAAGAAATGTGGCAGACACCACACAAAGAAACAACATGGACTTTTCCATCAGCATCAGTAACATCACCCCAGCCGACGCCAACACCTACTATTGTGTGAAGCTCCAGAAAGGGACCCCTGATACGGAGTTTAAGTCTGGTCCTGGGACTCGGGTCACTGTGAGTGGTGAGTACAGATGGGGCCTCCCACCCCTGGTGTGACAATAGCTCAGGAATAACACCTGTGTTCTTTGAGCAACAACTAAGTATCTGGGGTGAGAGTGGGTGTTTATATTCATAGTCACCTTTCACCCCCTTTTACAGACCAGGGATTTGAAGCCTAGAGGTCATGCTTATTGCTTAAGGCCCCTGATGACACAGGGAGAAAAGTCTGCAAACCTAGTCACCTGCTCCAAAGCTGAGCCTTGTCCAGTCTGGTCCCATAGAGGAGGGAACTGAACATGTGGGTGTCATTCCAGTCACCTTCTGCCCCCAGAGTCTTATTTGACATATAATTTCTGAGGACCTACTCTGTGCCCGGCTCTGCTCTCAGGGGTTGAAAACGGCAATGAACAAGTGGGCACAAGCTCTTCCCGTGATGTCTCCATTCTCTTTTCCTCCAGTGAGAGGAGGGTCAGTGCAGGGCCGAGAGGGCGTGTGAGTTTCCTTATTTCATCTTCAGAAACATCACACTGAGCAGAAAGTCCTACGAGGAGTGGAAGTGAGCGCCCTGTTGGGGGAGATGCCCAGAGGACTGGCTCAGCTGTGGGCTCTAGCAGGAAAACCCATGTGATTCAGGGCAGACGGCCCCACTGAGAGGAGAAGACTCTGCCTGGTCATCTTGGGAGGTCCCTCACCCCCTAGATAAGCCGCCCCATGAGCATGATTAGGAGGTAGTTACCTGACTGAGGCGGCACAGAGGATGCTCCTTTTGGGTGTCTGCCAGAGGCCCAGAATCCTCTTCCCAACTCCTAGATGTGGAAAGTCAGTAACATGGTACGGCTCAGTCCCCACTCACTGTGGGGCCACCTGAGCCCGGGAGACAACGGGGCCTGTCACATGGTGAGATAGTGATGGGTCTGGACAGGAACCCAGATCTGCTTCCAGAACGGGCTCCTGGCTGCTCTGACATTGGACACTCGGTCCATGGACGAGCCCTGCACACAGCACACACTGACTAGAAGCTCCTTGAACTGAAGCCCTGAGCAGGAGCCAGCATTGCTACTTTTCATCATTTCCTCAGAGGTTGAGAAGGCCTCTCACACTCCAATCCACAGGTGACTGGAAACCTCTCTCAGCCTCAGCCAGAGCTTCTCCTCTGATTTTAAGGCCTGCAGAACACCGCATCATATGGAAACTCTTGTCATTTAATTTCCATTCTCCTGTGGATGGGTACACAGTCTGTCCTCAACCACGAACACAGTGCTGCCAGGGATGACCTGTACCTGATTGTCCTGCTCACGCTGGGGTGTCCACTGAGAGTAGCACTGCTGGGTCAGAGGGTGTGGGTAGTTTATGTGGAAAAGGTCAGATTCCCTCCTGGACACAGCACTTGAGTTTCCACATCCCTGGACTTAGGCAGGGAGACAGCTTTACCCTGAGTTTCCAGATGTTACAGATAAAGACACTGAGGCTACCAGGTGGGGTGTCCCTTTCCCTTGTGGAGGAGTCACTGGAGCAAGAGGCTGAGCCCTGTCCGTCTCAGAGCTGCTGACTCCTGGTGCACTGCCCATCCCTCTGGGCCATGCTGTCTTTTTCCTCAAGACAGGGTCTAGAGGAGAAAGGGGGCTCCCTCTGTCCTCTTGATGGCATTTACCCTGATAATCAGAGCTGAGAGGGAGGGGCCTTCCTGCCCCTTTCACAGAGAAGGACCTGAGGCTCAGAGAGGGACCTGTCTGTAGGCAGGTAGGGAAGATGGGCTCTGAACCCCCAAGTAGCCTGGCTCCACATCCCCTGCTCTCTGCAACACCCCACTGTGCTTGTCAAAGTGTGGAAGATGCTCCAGCCCTCTCCTTCAAAAATCTGGTCTTATGATCTACAGCAGTAAGCATCAAAATAAATACATAAAAGTCCTGCATGGGGTGATGGCCTCACTTTGCAACTCAGATCACACTGATCCTGCAGGCAGCTCAGGATATTCTGGGCCTGAGTATAACAGAGGCATCTTAGCATCCTTAAAGCGTCCAGGCATCTTTTTCCCATTTCCTGGGTAGGGGTCCTTCCTGTGCAGTCTGGGAGCCTGCCCTGTAGAAGGGAGCAACGATGGAACAGAGAAGGGTCCAGGGCAACCCCACAGAGAACAGATGCCCACTGCACCACTCTGACGACTTGAGGATGCTGAGAGGAGGGCAGTCCTGGGGGTGCTCAGGGTCCCAGACGAGCAAATGTTTCTAATCTATACACAGGTTGTCAGAGCCCAGTTACACTACAGTCCATCTTGCTGTAGTGTAACTGGCCTGGGCACTGCCGGAGAAGGGCCACTTCTGACTGTCATTGCTGAAGTCAAGGATGGCAAACGGAAAAGGAGGGTGGAGGTCAGTGTCCGGGCTCCTGGAGGTGGCATTTGCTCTGAAGGTAACATCTGAAAGCTTAGGGGCCTCAGGAAATTCTCTTATGGACATAGTCATGTTATCCCTCGAAACTTAGTTTTCTCATGTGCAAAATGGACTTCTTTTAGGAGAAGATTTGAGGTCTTTGTGTAAAGCTGAAGCCCAGAGAAGGCACTCAGGTTGTCGAGGTATTACTTGAAGCTGTGCAATTTGGAACTTGATTCTCTTACCTGAGCTTCAGTTTCCTCATGTGTAGACTGAATAATCACACCCATATTTCTGGATGTTACAAGAAATAAGATGAGACTAGTGCAAGAATTAAAAAAAAACTAAAACAACAAAAAAAATTGGTATCAAATTGATTCCAATTCATGGTGATCCAATGTTGTTGTTAGGTGCGGTCTCATACATCCCTGTATGGGGTTTCTGAGGCTGTAATTCTTTATGGGAGCATAACAACTCATTTTCTTCCAGAAGAGTGGCTAACTGCTAACTGAAAATTCAAACTCCACCAGCCACTTCTCGGAAACCCTGTCTATACAGGCTCGCTATGAATCAGAACCAACTCGAGAGCAGTTAACAACGACAACAACAATGTATGGATCTCTCCAAGCACTGGTGGCTCTGTAGACTAAGTGCTAGACTGCGAACCACAAGGTCAGTGATTCAAACTCACCAGCCACTCCAAAGGAGAAGGATGAGGCTGTCTGTTCCCGTAAAGATACACAGTCTTGGAAATCCTACAGAGCAGTTAGTTCTACTCTGTTCTGTGGGTTCCTATGCGTCACAATCAACTTGATAGCAATAGGTTTTGTTTTTATAAGTGTATGTCAAAGGCAAATGACCTTGGACGGGTCATATTTCCTCTCTAGGGCTCAAGTATGAATGGGAGTTTAGGGGTCAGGGTTCATTAGCTTAGTGTTTTCAATCTTGGTTGCTCATTAAAATCACCTGAGAAACTTTGGAAAAATCCCCAGGCCCAGCAAAAAATTCTGATTTATTTGATCTGGTAGGGACCTGGGCATCTGACCTTTTCAGTAACTGCAGATGATTCTAAGCACAGCCAGGGCTGAGAGCCTCTGAGTTACAAGTTGCCTGGGGTCACAGAAGAAAAGCTGTGTTTTTCCTGACAAGTGAGGTTCCTTCCCCAGGGACTTCAGAATAGCAGGTATCAGTGACAGCTCTTAGGGAGCCTGACACCCCAGGGATGTGGCGTGGACACCCCACCCACCATAGACATGCCTCTGGGGCTGAAGAGGGACTCCCACCTTCTTTGGCCAGCAAGAAGGGGACACCTAGACAAAGTTAGACTCAGATTTGAGCTTAGTGCTGGAGAACCTTCTCATCTTTAAACATGTTTGTGTCTGAACAGGCACCGGAACACCAACAGAACCCTCCCT